TAATAAAACCAGAGAGAAAGGCTGCATGGCTAGAAACTGTGAAGAAAAGAAAAAAAAGTCAAATAATAGTATACGAGACAGTGGTAATATCATTGTGTTCCTATTGGTCAGTAGAGGAGCTTAGCTTAGCCTGACAGTTAGCCTGCTTTAGACCAGGTTAGTTTCCCAGCATAAGTTGCCACAGTAACTAAGCTTGATCTAGGCCCATGTTAAATTTGCTTTATGGAACCAAATCATTTGACAATGAGTCAGACTAACTGAAATAAGCCTGGCTTATTTGGTTAACTTGTTTTATGAAACAGGCCTCGAGGCATTAAAAGTGATCATATTTTCTCCATTGCATCATATTGCATCGAATCGCATTGTGTTGAATTTAATCGAATCGAAATCGGATCGCACTGCATCGTAATGGGGTGAATTGTATTGCATCGCATCGGTAGCTGCTTATGTATCTTTCATTTATCATATCGTTGGCTATGCATCGAGATGCGTATCGCATCAGTCATGGAGATGCACATCCCTATTATCTACAGATCAAGTATAATAATAGGAACATTGATACGGATACGGGGACCGAAGGGAAAAAAGGAATGAATGCAGTCTTAGAAGCAATATAGCAGCTAACAGATAAGGTGGACACACTAGGTACTCAGCTACAACAGAATTCTATCATGTTAATCAACATTAAGTTGATTAAGGCAGTCTAGGCAGTCAAGGCAGTCTAGTTCAATACGGCCGAAATCAAGGACTGCAAAACTCAGTTACAGTCTTCGGTCCACGAAGTATCGGCTTTAAAGAAAGATAACGAGGAGTTGATGGAGCGTGTCTTGGAGCTGGAGCGGTACAAACGCGATGGAATCTGAGGATTCGTGGTCTAAAGGAAAAGGAAGGTGAAGACTTACGTGAGGCGGTTGTTCAGTTACTGGTGAAAATCTCCCCATCATGGTCCTCGAACATCAACCACATCATGGACTCGGTTCATCGAATAGGAAAATAAAACAAGGCATGTCATCATTCAATTTTCTCAGAGAATACACCGAGATGCACTGTGGAAAATGACAAAGGACCACGTGATCTGCAAAGAGCTTCATATCAGCTTCATCGAAGGGAGACCCGAGAGCTGCACTGTGGCCAAAGATAAAAGAATCTAGAGATGCAGGAAAGCGTGCGTACTTCCGAGGAGGTGTGGGATATATAAACGGACAAAGAATCACTTAGGAGCACACAAGGTATATGAACAAAGGCCTTAGTATTTAAAGCTTGAAATGGCCTTTTGATTTATAGGATTTGTTTGGATGGTATTTTTGCATTGAATGCAGTTTGAAGGGACAGTGCCTGTTTGGGCTTTTGTTTCTCAATTTTTCCAAATTATAATTGGTTGGACTTACTAATATTTGTTGGCAGTTGCCAATTTTGTTCATGAATAATTTAGTTTTTTCTTGTATTTCACTTAATGTTAGGGGCTTAAGAGAGAACACTAAGAGAAAGTCATTATTTCTGTTTTGCAAGGGCGAAAAAATCACACTTTATTTTGTTGCAGGAAACACACTCCAAACAAGAGGATGAAAGATTTTGGGTAAATCAATGGGGAGACAAAATCATTTTTGATCATGGGTCCACTAGATCAGCAGGTGTTCTTTATATTGTAATGTGAAGATGTTTTGATATGGCCAAGTTGTTTGTATTAGGATTTTGATTGTTCAATAAATAAATAAAAAAGTGAAGCCAAAGCATCTCAGAAACCGTTGCGCCGTTGTGACGCAATCGCACTTCAAATGTGCACTCTGGAGTCCATGCATCATATGACCCCTTTAAGTCTTTCCCCAGCAGGTTCATTTTCTCCAGAATAGTACTAAAACAAGAGAAAATGGATACACTTATGAAAAATATAAAGACAGGTTTGCAATCTTAACATTAGAAAATATGACACAGGAGGACATGCATACAAAATACTAAAGTGCTAAAGTTTGGTTAAAACATTTGTAGACATGACAGCACTACAAAAACACAGCAAAAAGAACGACTATTGCCTTATATAGTGGTTGTCTTATTGTTTGTGGGCTTTGTTTTTGTTAAAAAAACCTGGCTTTTAACACTTGTTTCGCTAGGTATTTGAGTAAATGAAAACACAATACTTACATTTCAATGTGAATTCCCCCACAGAACTCTCATCCTCCATGTTCTTTGAATATAAATTACATCGTCATCAGCGCGCAAGTGATTCTGGGATATGGTAGGGTGCGAAGTGTCCATCAGATGTACACTTCATTTTCCTGGGAAATGGAGGGTGCATTTGAAGTCGCTGTCGCGCCTCGGTGACGCAATCGGCCTTGGAATGCGGTCTTCTGAATTGGGACGGCTTACGTCGTGACGCTAAGACGCAATCGCACTTCAAATGCGCACTTCGGAGTCCATGCACTTCAGTTTGGGACAGGCACTTCAGTTTGGGACAGCCTTCGTCGCACCGCTGTGACGCAATCGCACTTCAAATGTGCACTCTGGAGTCCATGCACTTCAGTTTGGGACACAGCTGCAGTTTGAATGCTGAATGGAGGATGACTGACAGCCGCAGCGGAGAGAAGGGTTTACGTCAACTTGAATTTAACGACTTAAATATTCGTACCTCACATTAAACTATGGTCTCAGAACACTTGATTCTTAAAATATAGTGCACAGAAACTTTATGGTGCTTTATAATGTTTTTGTGCCTTTCGTGGGGCTTAATAATAACACAGAATAGTATACACACTATATCGGATTTGGATCGGTCTCGACCGATACCCCAACCCAGCAGAAAATGCCAGTATCGGAGCGATACCGATACTGAATATCAGATCGGCGCACCCCTAGTAAAAATACTGCAGCTACCACAGTTATCATTGCCACTTTGATCCAGCCATAGGAGACAAAGGCATTCATCTAGACCAGAAATATTCTTGACAATATTCTCCAGTTAAAAACCAAAGGCTTCCTTCTTAATGCGTGTTGTTAACTGGATCACCAATGCCTGTATAATATTAGTCCCTCATTTCCCATTGTTCATCGGAAAAAAAAAAAATCTTAAAGGTCCTGCACATTGTTTGGTTTTCCAGCATCTTCTTAGTATTTGGAACCTTTTATGATTATGAGATCCAACTTTTCTCATAATTTCCATACACTGTGCTACATCAGAAGTTGCAGTGGCCACTAAGGCTATGTGGAAGCTATCATGCATAGAGGTGGACTCGTGTCAACTGTAACAAAAGGTGCAAACATTCACTAATGCTCAAAAAGGCTTTAACTTTTCAGGATTAAACTTTTCAATAGGGTTAAAATAAGCAGAAGACAAATAAGAAGCATATTTTTAGCATGCTGTTGGAAAAGTATAACAATTAAACATGAGAAAATCCCAGAAAATCTTAAACTTGTTTGATACAGTTGAATTCAATCTGAAACCTCCTTATAAATGACAAATAATCATGTTACTAACAGCAGTTAACAGAAGGGCTGCATAATGATCTATTTATACAGTATAATATTATATAATTACATTTTCCAAATTGAAATAACAGACCTATTTTAAAAAAAAATCAATAAAGGTATTAACAGGAGTATTTACTACTTATTCAATCATATTCTGTGGAACCTCGAAAAATACATTTATACCTTTATACCTGTATCTCGCCCACAGTTGCTACCTTCAGTGAGCTTCTTGTAATTAAATATACTTACATTTACACATCTGGAAGATGTTTTTACCCAAAGTGATTTTTTACATTGTAACAGCTGATGCATTTCCTACGAACTGAACCTGTGACTTTAGCATTGATAGAGCCTCATTCTCTGTGTTTAAGCAAATGTGATCCAAGACTGGAGGCTGTAGGTTTTACACATGCTAACAATATTTTTGAAACAAAATTTTAAAATACAAATTTGACCTGAAGTATATCATATAACTTAGTAGCAACCTGATCTGCATCTGCTTTAGATCTGCCCCATTACCGGTTTCGTACTTTGGTTTGTCATTTCAGCTGGAGAGGATCAGTCAGTGAATAGCTTGATACATTTTTATTATGTGCAGCAAAGCAGAATTTAGAACAAACTCACTTTGAACGTGTAGCAGTCTGAACTGCAGGATCGGAGCGACCTGGTCAAAACGGTGTGAAGATATGAAAAAAATCAAAGGACAAATAGAGGAGAGAGGATCCTGGGGGAGTAAAACAGAGTTTATTTTAGCTGTGGCAGGGATTGTGATTGGTCTGGGTAATGTGTGGAGATTTCCCTATCTCTGCTACAAGAATGGAGGAGGTATGAAGCAGACTAAAGACACAAATGTTTGTTTGTTGGAGATTTCATTATGGTTACAAAATGAATACTATACCTTAGGTTTCTGTGGCATTTTAATAATGTATTATCGCACTGGTGTGTTCTCAGGGGCGTTCCTGATACCCTACCTGGTGTTTGTGGTTACCTGTGGGGTGCCTCTGTTCCTGCTAGAGACGGCTATGGGACAGTACACACAGGAAGGGGGCATTACTTGTTGGCGTCGGCTTTGTCCACTGGCTGAGGGTGAGCCAAAAGATTTAAACAAATTCATTAATGCTTTTTTTATATGCATTCATTGTTAGGGTACAGGCAACCACCACTTGCATTTTCTAAAGTAAATGTGAGACAGTGTATCAATCTAGACAATATTCATCTGTATAGAAATCCATATCAGCCCCTAGAACTGTAAAAGTTAGTGAAATTTGGCACACTAATTGTGTTGAGTGCCTTAGTCCTGGTGGCAAATTAAACTTTGCATTGCAGCCATTCCCATGGGTCTCTGTGAAATTAGTTGTATGTCCCTGCTGATCAATGTATCTGTTTGCATTTGTCAGGTATTGGGTATGCAGGACAACTGATTATTTTGTACAGCTGCATGTATTACATCATCATTCTGGCCTGGGCGCTTTTCTACTTCATCTCCTCTTTTAGCTCCCAACTGCCGTGGGACAGTTGTGACAATACCTGGAACACAGGTGAACATTTGAACCAAAACTCACAGAAAGAGCTCAGTACTATCTATTGAATATCATACAGTACATGAATATGCTGGACCAGTGGTTTGCAAACTTTTTTTTCGTTGTCTCTGTCTTAGCTGACTGTGTGAATCTTGCTGCAAACAATCTGACCCTTAACCGTACAATGCTGATTAATTCAACTACTTCGGTTACTGAGTTCTGGAGGTAAATACATAAGCATAAATGATATTACAATGAAATCAATCCTTGCAAGAACATTATGCATTAGCAATTCAAAAAACATAGATATACACACATACATATATAATAAAACTGAAGTTGTTGGCCCTCTGTAAAGTTGTAAAGTTGTTGTTCTCTCTTGTCAAATTTTATAGAAACAGAGTGCTGGTTCTTTCTGATGGTATTGAGCAGGTCGGTAAGATCAACTGGGAGATTCTACTGTGTCTTATTGTAATGTGGATCATATGTTATTTCTGCATCTGGAAAGGAGTCAAATCCACAGGCAAGGTGAGCAAGATTATCTTTGAAGAGAATATGGTCTAATACTCTGCTTAAATATTTTATATCAAAATTCAAATTTTCACACTTTGATTGCTTGGTCTGTTGTCTTCGGCATTGACAGCTTTTAAGCAAGAAATTATGTTTTAATTTGTTATTATTTGTGTTCTGAATGTTAATACAGTATTTTGCTTCTTAAACGGGTGGTTCACTTTTCCACCGTTTTTTTCTAGGCTTGATTGTGTTTATGGGGTGCAGTCTAACATGTGTTAATGCTTTGTTTTTATAAAAACCCATTATTTTTCACATAATTTACCTTTATTCCACACCGCTCTGTCCCTTCTCTGAGAAACGGGCTGATCTTTTCCTGTTTTTATGAAACCCCGCCCTCAGAAATAAGAAGATGGGCTCTGATTGGTTAGCTAGCCCAGTGTGTTGTGATTGGCTAAACAGCCTCTGGTGTGCGTCTAACCGTCCCGCCCCTCACCTCAGCGGCATGTGATCCATCTGCTTTACGCAGCAAACATATTTTGCTTTTGCTATATCCACGGGTCAGGTAATAAAAAATGCATTCTGATTATTTGCGGATGGATAAAATAAATCATAAATGATGCAAATATTAACTACATTTTTTTAAATAAATTTTTTTCATGAGGCAGACGATTTCACGTTCGTTCGCCTGATCGGGAAGCTGCAGTGACAGAAACAGTGACATTCCAAGCCTGTAAAGTAAAGCCTGTGTTAATGCTATTGAGTAAGCTAATATGGCCAAAGAAGATATTTTGTTTTATAAATAAATTTTAATTTAAAAGCAGCCCACGATCAGCGTATTACCGTTACCCCTTACGGATCCGACGAGGTTTTGTTCCGTCCTCCTCGCTGTGACTAGAGCGGCCGCGATCAGCTCCGGTGGCCGTGGAGCCGTAAAGGCCAAAGTATACTTCGGCCATCCGCGTCCACGTACCGTCCGCATTACGTCATTTTCGTCATCAGGAGGGCTTGCGGAGAGTACAACAGCGCATGCACAAGGTGAATGTTGAGACAGAGTAGGTGGTACTGCGCATATGTGTCAAACATGCCGCGGCTGTGCACGAGGTGAAACGGAACGCGGAAAGTTAAGTATACCCAGGCCTTAACGCGCTGCAGACGCGTGCAGTGAGGCGCAGATCAGCTCTAACGTCACGTCATGCAAAACATACACGATAAATAGCTAATTTTTCATTGTTTCTCGAAACGTCATAGCATTTCCACACTGGCGATGACATGACTGTCGAAACAAATCATTTATGTCCCCACGCATCATGTACGTCGTCACGCGTTGACGTCATCAAACTGCGATCGGTTCGTGAGATCGGCCAAGTGTAGTGAGTACCGATCGAGTCATAAAATGTGATTATCGGCCGATACCGATCTCCGGCC